ATAGATAGATAGATAGATAGATAGATAGATAGATAGATAGATAGATAAAAAGAGTCAGTAGAGCATTTGAAAAAGTGTCTTGGTGTAATTAAACCCGTGGTCAACAAAGCGAATAGTGGGCCATTATTGTCTTGGCTGCATGGACTGGCACTGGTATCATCTCTGTGTTTCCTCTTTGGTTAGTGAAGCATATTCCTGACACGCTTCTGGTAAATCTGCAGCTCATTTTACGCTACATTACAACTGAAAGGTCAAAGCATGTCTTCTGTAATAAATCTCTATTTACAATGCAGACACTTGCAGCAGAGTGATGTATTTTAAGTTGCCACACATTATTTTCAGTGTCACATTCTGCACCATCCCAGAGCCTCTCAGTGTGGTATGTGAGTGTGACAGCAGCATCCCCTGACCTACCCTCCTCTAGAGTGATTTACAATGACATCAGATAAGCGAATGCTGCGACTCTTCAGCAGCAACCATGCCGGGAGGGAGACCATTGATTGGACACATTCTGAGGAGCGTTAAAGTGTTAAAGAGCTGCCAAACTCAATAAATCCAGGTCCCAGTATCTACAGCTCCCTCCCTCCACTGAGATGAACAGGCAGCTCTGTCATTTTACTGACTTTTTTTTTCTAATGCAAATGTTTGGGTAATAAAAAGATCAATGCCTGTGTAATAGCTTATTGAATTTTGGTGTAGATTGTGATAGAGGGGTAGTTGAGCAGAAATGAAGAGACGCCGAGGGAAAAAAAAAGGAGAACCGGAGATAGAATCCCATTGTCTAGATTTCACTCAACACACCATCTGCACACACAAGCATGCACAAACCAATGCGATGTAACTAAGGCCTCTCAAATTGGCAATTCATTTAGCCAATTTGGATTTAATGATCATAGAGGTAATGCCAATGTCAGTGCTGTCCTGAGAGCCTCTCTGTCTTCCTTGTCCATCTTTGTTGTTGCGCTCTGTGATGGTAGCAGGTAGGAAGGTGACAACAGACTGCGACATGCAATTTACCAAAATGAACTCTGATGAGAGGCAGAAACGCTGCATGGTTTTTAAAAAAAATCACCTCCCAAAAAAAGCCCAAAAAATGTAGCCATCTTAACTTCCATGCCCGTCAGTTCAATAGAACTGGCTTAGTGAATAATTCCATCTGTGTCACATCTGCATTCAAACGGCCTACTGTGCACAGAGAAATGAGAATCAGTGGGGGATGAGCCTTCATTACCAAATACACCATTTACGCTCACTGCAGCAGAGTGATGCAACTATGTGGTTTCAGTGTGTCTGTTTACCAGAAAAACCATTACAAGACATTTTGGACCATCATCCCCACAGATTTGTAGAAAAAAACAATGTGACAGGGCTGAATCCACATTTGGTGGAAGATGGCATCATTATTATGCTTTTGTTTCATATCTCCAGTTTCTAGTGCAGCAGTTTATTGCCACATTTCGATAGAGTTGACATTATAACCCCCCATCAGCAGAATACAGACTTTAAATAATTTCTCACATGAAATTCTCAACAAATATAAAGCATCTGTTTGTGAGGATTTAACCTTTTCCAGCACTACCTTTGGAGTGAAGATGGCCCTCTCGTAGTGTCGCATACTGCTACTGCAAAGGACTGTGCATGAAATCCAATTTACTGCAGCACAGCTTACCCTCAAGTTAAAGGGAGCTGTATCAGCCTAGGAGGAGGACAGGCGACAGCACAGACACACACACATTTACACTTAATAACCTTTATAGTCTGATTGAACAATGCTCTAAAAGGAGTAAGTTATAGGCTCTGTGTTGATTAATGTTATTTTGGTCTGTCGGAGATCTAGATAGTGAGAAAAGGGCATTGTGAAGAGGGGAGGTGAATGTTGGTGAAGGAGAACGCATTTGATTTCAGCCTGCACTTTGTTTTAATGATAGATGCTTTGCAGTTCAGTAGCCAGACTTAATGCTGCCTCTCAGAAGTCCTCTATCTCTGGAAATGTATGTTTGTGTACATGCAGTGCTCCCAACATTAGCTAGTCCTTTTGCATCTCCACTCTCTGATTTAATCATTTATTGTGTGACTGACTTTTGGAAAATGCTCTAATTAGAAGCATTATCATTATATAGAGATACAATAAGAGAAAAGCTGGCCAGAATGTATTTGAGATAACTGTTGTTGTGATTTGTCGCTATATGAATAAAATTGAATTGAATTAAATTGAATTTCCAAACTGAAAGTTTCTCATAAAAAAATCCCTATCTTTTTGTTGTGTCTGACTCAAAAGGATCACAACGTATTAGAAAAAAAAAGATTTGTAAGGAATTGGGAATGACAAGAGGAGCTTGGTGAGACATGATGACAAGGGGCTGTGAAGATGGAATCAACTGAGTGAGGAAAAGAGGTCTGGACGAGGAATAGGAAATGAAGTGGAAAGAGAGTGAAAGCATCAGAGGAGGGGGAGGGAGCTGCATGGTTTGAGGTGAGTCCAAGGTGATCATAGGGGGTAAAGAGTGCAGTTAACCCGCAGGTTAATGTACACAACAAAGGCCATCTGTTTTTATGGCAGTAGCGCTCCATGCAGCTGAGCTACTACATGGCATGTATCTGTAAAAACACCCCAGTAGCACTGTCAAAGAGGAAAAGCAGCCAATACAAATGTTTTGCTTGTTACATTCACAGTGTCACGCAGGCACGGACAGTTTCTTTGTGGACTCCATTTCCCTTTTAGGCTCGGCATCATAACATTTTACCAGTTCAATGCAAGGAGCTACATATCCTAAAGCATTATCCACAATACCACAAATAACCTGAGCGGCAATCTGTCTGCATTAAGTACATTTGAGAATCTCTTTGTTTTATAATACAGGTTTCCCATTGATATAATCACATAGCTAATATCTAATCTAATATGACATTCTTCAAGTATGAAGCTCATGTAAGCATCTCCTTCATTAGAACACTCATCACACTCAAGTGTCTCCTTCCAGAGGCTTTAAAATCCATCATATGGAAGAAGAAAGGTGGTTGGATGGCTCAATAATGAACAGCACTTGAAATGGTCCATGAGTTCCTAATAATTATTCATCACCAACATACGAAACATTTCATTTGACTTCAATTGATGATAAATTACAACACCTCTTTTGTCATTTCCTGATTAGTTTTAGGCCAGGGGTGTCCAAAGTCTGTCCTTGAGGGCAGCTTTTTCTGCAGGTTT